TATTTTTTTTATTTTATTTTATTTTATTTTATTTTATTTTATTTTATTTTATTTTATTTTATTTTATTTTATTTTATTTTATTTTATTTTATTTTATTTTATTTTACTTATATTATTTAATTTTTTATTTTATTTTATATACTTTAGTTAAATTTAGTTTTATTTTTAAATTGACAATGTAAAGTATGTGTCTTTAAAATTCCCTTCTGGTTGGAACCTGAAGCTTCACGTGAACAAAATTCACCGTTGAAGGAGTTTAAAATACTGCGTGGTTTCAGTTCAGCTGAGACAACGACGTCGGGGGCATTGTTTGCTCCTTTTCGCATCACATTCCAATTGAGTAAGATTTGGTATGAGTTTGTGGACTCATTTGAGGTAAAACAAATTTCCAGCAACTTTGACTTTGATGTTGCAGGTAATCAAAACGAAATGCGTTTGATGCTTTGCATGTTCAACGGGGCGTATGAGTAACCAAAAAAAAAAAAAAAAACGTAAAAAAAAGCAGGAGTGACAATAAAAATGCTATAAAAATATGGAAGAAGTAGACAATGTATGCATAGATGAGGAGAGTAAATAAATAAATATTGGGAAACGTTTTTAAATTGTGTAAGTATACATATATATTACGTATACAGGCATATGTACAAGTGCATTTAAATATATGTATGTATATGTAAACCTACTTTAGTGCAAAAGTGTTGAACGCCCATTGGTTTGAGTACTCATTTGCATTTTAAATTAATGCGGTTTTTCATATTAATTTATGCATATTTGCGGTTTCCAATTTAATTATTTGCTGCGTTGCACGCTTGCGGTATATTCATGATAAATACGTGTATGTACTATTTGTGTGTGGCTGTATATGAAAGCAGAACACATATAATAGGAAAAATTGCATATGTTTGTATGTAAAACAGCATTGTAGGAAATGTGGGAGAAATATATGCACATAGGTTGGTATTGAAAATTTCGCAAAAACTTTCCAAAAATTAAAAAAAAAATTTTATCAAAATTATTTAAAAACATATTTTATCTTGGCTTGGCCTCATTTTTATAAAGTTTCTTACGCAGTTATGCTGATATAATCTTTTTCAAGTAATCTGCGTTTTGACAGCCTCTTTAGCTAGCGAAATATTGTGCATGGCGATATGATGACCTTTGAAAATTTTTATGTTTAGCTAATAATAAGTTTCATAATATTAATACATAATTGTCTAAATATGTATGTATATACATATATATTGTTTAATATTTTTGGTTTTTCGAATTTTTTTCACATCACTGTAATATATTTATATATAGTTTTTTTTTTGCAAATTACAAATAATTTGTGTTTTTTTTCTCAGGCACTTAAGTTTATTTATTTCCTCATGAATACATTTAATCATATTTACATATGTATGTATGTGTGTAAGTTTAATATAGCGCTTAATTTTATGTTTGTATAAATGACATATGAATAAATATTTGCCCATTAAATTTTCAACGCCATTCGTGTGTGTGTGTGTGAGTATGTATGAGTGTGTTATTGCTTCAGCTGGTAATTAGTGCGCGTTAAAATTATTTCCAATATACACATTTTCTGTAAATATCTTTTTGTTGTTTTTGCCGTTTTATACTTACCACACTCGACACGTTTTGCTTTGGTTTTGCTCATTTCCGCTGCATTTAAACACATACAAATTTTTTAATTTTTTTTTATTTACAATTTCTGCTTTGTTAAGTAAGTTCATTTCATTTTTTCCATGCCTCCTTTGTAGTCTCGCTTTCTGCTGTGGTTGTGCGTTTAATTTAATTTATTGTTTTTTTTTTTTGTTTTTTTTTTAATAATTTTTTCCATTTAAAGTTCATTGCAGTCACTAGCAGCTGTTTACTAATTCCTTAAACAAATGTTGTAGTTAAATTAACATAACTGTAATTTTTTCTTATTCGCTACAATTTTTTTTTAATATTATTACAGACATTATTTATACAAGTACTTTGATGGCAGAAGAAAATTCCAGTAAAAAACTTTAGAAATTTTTCAAATTAAAATAAAATAAATTAAAATAAAAAATAATAATATTAATTAAATAAAAATGAAATAAAAGAGAATAATTTCATATGGTATAAATTAAAATAAAACTAACAATTTAACTAAATTTAATTTAAATTATTCAATTAAAGTAAATTAAATTAAAAAAGTGAAATAAAATAAAATAAAAATAAAACAATTTAACTAAATAAAATATAAATTAAAATCAAATAAAATAAAATTAATAAATTTTTTAAATAAAATAATTCCAAATAACATGAAATAAAATTAAATTAAATGAAATAGAAAAATAAGTGAAAAATGTTGAAAAAAAAATGTAAACAAATAAATTATTTTAAAATATATTAAAAAAAAATAAAACAACAAAAAATCGATAAAACTGTCAGATTTTTCTTGCAAATAACGCAATACTGCCGCTTTCTCTTCAATACCTTATCGTATTTAAGAAGTATTTAAAAATCCTTGAGGTTTGCGTCTTAGCTATGCAGTCAATAAATCAATAATTCGAAACAGTGTCTGTGGAGAGCGGCCATTGTTAATCTGTATTATGATCAGGAAACTCTCAATCATTTTCATTGATGATTTTCACTTCAATTTCGCTTCTTCCAACACGGATAAATTTTTTTTAGTTCGCCTTCATAATCGCAAAAAGCAAAAATAAAAAGTGAACTTCTTTGGGCTTGATAAGCCGCTGCTCTGTTTTGTGCTTAAAGTGATCAACTAAAATTAGTCCATACCAACAATCCGCTTCATACATAATTGCGCAAGCTCAGCTCTACATAACTCCAAAAATGTCTGGGAAGCGCACATTCTAAGGCGATGTGAGCATTCTGCGAGGAAGTCTGTAGCTGAGCTTTTTCTACTTTAGGCATTTTTTAGGATTCGCTAAAAGCTTTTATCTGGCACTGAAAATAATGCAGATGTCTGATTTGTGTTTCTACAACATCTTCCTTCCTCTAACAAAATAATTTGCTCATTATTTCCTTACCATTAAATTACTTTATCACAATCTGTTCTTGGTTTTCTGCTCAGGCGCACGGCTTTTTCCCAAATTGACTTTTTCCAAGGGATACTAGGGTTGGTAAATGAATTATAAAGAAGAGATAGACTTGCTCTTGGAGTCACCATTAGGACATGGTTTCCTACATATACCAAGCTGTGGATTGTAAGATGTGTTCGAGGCAGAGCACATTTTGAAATAAAGGTTTATTGGCGTTTTATTTTAGAGTCTTCCCTTAGTTCGTTACTTTTAGTTTAGCATTTTTCAAATTTCTCATACTCCATTTCATATTTCATGCAAATGTGAAAACTGGAAATTCTCGAATGAGACGAATTTTGTAGTACTCGCTGGGTGAGGTTATCCAATTTTCAAACCTTTGCCATGGTGTCAAACGCACCTCTGGTGAAAAATCATAAAACAAGAGCACTTTCTCTTAAATAAATGCGATCTTTTCTACTTCAAATTGGTAAATAATTCTCTGAATAACACTCGTCGATGACCCATCGGCCTTTGTCGGTATAATCGATGTCAATGACACCTCATGCAGAGCAAAAAGTACTGCAACCTTAATAATCAACGATTGCTTCACTCAGCGAATCCCTTTACATCGATGGCTTGTTGATTTCTGGATCGATGAGATGGATTGCTCTTTCGTTACTGAGTTATCGTTTAAAACTGGTTTGCATCGTGCGTTATCACTCGAACAGTGTAGATAGTTCACTCTCTCAACTCATTTGCACTCGTCTGATCTAGCGGCTTTTACCCACCATTACTTTTCTGTCTCTCTGCGTTTTATAAGTGCGCTCTGAATACGCCATATGGCATTAGTAATATCTTATTTTGCATTGAAAAAGATCACTTAGCTTAAGTTGGTTACGAAGATTTCGTTCCGGAAAATTTGTTGGGAAAGATAATCCACGGTGTGGAAGGCCAATTCACGAAATTGTCTGTAAAATAATAGAAATCTTCAGGTCGGAGCAAGCGTACTCACTGTTTCGATTGTCCACAATCCAAACATTGCTCAAAAAACAGTTTGAGCCCGCTTGAAAGAGGCTGGGAACACCAGGAAACACAATACATGGGTTAATTAACGAGAACAAACCTCTTGGATCGAGTTTCGATCTGCGAATCGCTGCTGAATCGTAACGAAATCGACGCATTTTCGAAGCAATTGGTGACTGGGGATGAAAACTGGATCACTTACAGCAACTTAGAATGAAAACAATTGTGGCGGACGAGCAGTGAGACGGCACAAAAGGTCTCCAAGTTAGGATTGACGGTCAGGAAGGGTTTTCTTATGTGTTTGGTGAAGTTCGCAAAGCACCTACTACCAAGAGCCACTCGTCCACAACCAAACGCTTGATTCGGACCCATACTGTCAGCTAGTTTATTTAACCGTCTGAAGAAAGCAATCACCCAGCTCAGCTCAGCTCAGCTTTGGCTAACAGTAGGGAAATTGTGTTTCATCAGGACAACGCGAGACCACATACATCGAAGCTCCGAGAGCTTGTTTAGGAGGTAGTTTTTTTTGCATTGAATAAATCCAAACAAATACCTGTCAGCCAACTGACAGCTGTATGACATCGACAACCACGTGCGCATCAATCAGGACAATGCTTTATCAACTTTTTGTAGGAGCCAAGGGACAAAGAGCACAGACACCGACGGAGGCAGACAGACAGATAGATAACAAAAGCGTCAAAGTGTAAAATTACTAGACACCGACATGCAAATATAACTTAAATGACAGCACTGAATCGACATTAATGTATTACTTTGACAATCCATCTCTTCCCTCTTTACCCGAACCACCACTCTCTGCAGTTCACTCAACCACACCGAAATGCCTTTGGCAAGCACGGGCAGTTCAAATTTCTTTAGAAATATGTACCTACTCTCATCCATTACTATTTCAAACAAAAGACATCATTTAAATATGCTTCTTCTTCTCTACTCTACTTACAGGTGAAACAGGAGAACCATTAAAAAAGCATAAAGCAAGGTACAGAGTAAGCAGTGGCAGCAGCAGGCATAACAAAGTAAATAAAGCATAAATCACGAACGACTGCCAAGCAAATAAATATCTGCCCGCTTGCACCGCACCGCACCGCACCGCACAGAGCACAGGGTGCACGCACATACCACGCACTACGCGAAGCACAAGGCACGAAGCACACTCACATCCGAACACCGAGCACCGGCATCCCAGAGCACTTCATTGAGCACAAAATGCGAAGTTGCCATTTAATTGCGCTGTCGATTGGCGTTTGTGTGGCAGCCATGTCGCTGTTACCAACCACCGTCTGCGCCACGACAGAAGTACAGGAGACACCATTGGCGTTGCCTGTCGCCGAACAGACACAACCGACTACGGCTACACCGGGTGAAATTTGGGAGGAAGATGATCATGAGATATTGATACGTAACGAGCGTGGAACAAAGAGTGATGGTGAGTAGGTGGAAGAGAGGATATTCGTATATGTACATATCATTGGTTTTATTTTCATAATCTGGTCAGAGAGAGAGCAGCAATGGGCGACCATAGAATTGTTTAAAGCAAAGGCCTCATGTAAAGAGTTTGGCTATCATCGTCCAATTTTTCGTTATATTTCTTTTACTTCATCCAATTACTTCCTGCGTCTAGGGAGACCTAAAGTGCTAAGCCGACTCCGAGCCCCTAATGGATTAACACTCCAATGGAAAACCCTATTAAATACATATCAATCTTTGCCCATATGAATTAAGAGAAACGGAAATTTTTTTAATTCTCTAAGGGGGGAAAAAAAGAAAAAATATTATTTTGTACAAAACACATGAGAGGTTTTTTTTTTTGGAGAAAATTAATAATTATTTGCAACAAGTAAGGCTAGGTTAGTAAGAGTATCGAAGTGGGAAGTGGGTATTAAAGTACCTTTAAATTTCATTAAATATTTAGCTTTGATGCCTGCTATTGTAGGCAAAACAGCTCCCAGAAATAGGAACCTAACTCTGGCTAAGGTCGATTAGGAACCTAATTCGACGCTAAGGTAGATCAGCCACATAAAAGCCTAGAGACCGTGTCTTGCTCTTCATCACTAATGTAGCATCTCCTAAAAGGAACACCCAGTTATGGTCTGTGGCCTATTAAGAAACCTATAAGCTGAAATAAGTCTTCGCTCTTTTGAGAAACTATATTTGTTGTGAACTTTCCTTATCTCATTTCGACCAGCTTTGTCTTGAAGTTTTGGATGTTCAATCTTAATTCAAAAGGAAGACGCGGTCACGCCTGGCAGGTTCATCTACTTCCATTTCTTTCTAAGCCACTGGTAGCAGGAACTCAAATGAGCGATATAATATTCCGTTTGACTATCTCCTGCAGACATCGGAGACAGACCAGCTCAGTATCGTAAGTGCGCCAAGAAAAATAAACCCTACTTGGCTACCGCTAAATTTCGGTTTAAGTATGACCTGCTACCTCCAGAATGGCTAAAATATCAGCTTTAAATACATCGCGTTGATCGGGGAGCCTCAAATATGCGTTTTTTTTTTAGAAAAAAGCTCTCTCAACTCTTCCACGAGTCTTCGATCCATCCACACATATCTCAATGATTTTGACTGAAATATTAAATTTAGGAATATTCCACTGATTTAGATCGCTTAGGCGACGAGCGCTTAAAGATGATGTAATAAAATATTGAGCATCACCTTTTAGGCCACCCTTATTAGCGTAGTCTTATGTGCTCAACTTATACTAATCATTGCTGATCTTTACTATTTGCTTAGGAGCTTAAAGTTTTTCATTTTGTTTAACGCAGACCAACGAATTCTCCAACCCACGCACAAGTATTGGTTTTATAAGAATCTTAGGATTTAAATCTCTATGTCTCACGCTAGGGCTTTTAGTTCAGTTTTTTGTCCTGAGCTACGCTCTTACCTTGATTCCTACGCTTATGTCAACACCATTTAGAGATGGCGTAGAAGTTTTGTACCTCTCAGCGAAAAAAACGAGTTCTGCCTTGAGTTTACGCAGTATGCACGAAGGTTAGACACCTTGAAAAGTCCCATGTAACAAGTCAACAATATACAACACATATATATAATATTTATAATTGGCGCTTTTTAACCGTTAAAGGGATTCTCGGCCCAGCTCTTGATTCCTACTATTTGTGGTAATTTGTCGTATGCGTCTTGATGTTTTTTTCCAATAGGTTGTAGGTTCCAGTTTATTACAAGACGCCTTTGAACTGCAGCTGGGTTTTTATTTGAGTCTCTTTAATTTCATGACGGAAACACACTCGGGGGGTTTGACATTCCCTACCGAGCGCGACCAAAATTAGAAATAATAATTTTTTGACTGTTGGTCGAATCAGGATTGGCACCCAACCATATTTGCATGGGTAGTCTACACCAGAAAATTATCAGTTCTAATGCATGCATTAAGTGAAAAGGACACTTTGTAATCCTTACGCTCTCAACACCACCGGTACCATCACACAGCATGCTAATCAGCAGAACAGAGTTTCGGCCCTTGTAGTAGAGAGAGGATCCTACAGTCTAGAACCCTCATATCGTCAAACAGACAATCCAGATATTTTGACGTGGCAAAGTCAGACAAATCCCCGGAATCGAGCATTTGTACCGAGTTAGAGACTCCTATGGATGTATTTTATAGAAGAGAGCTTAAATATTTTAGCCGTGAAAATTCGTTAATGAGAATGACCGATATTATTGGGGCCTTCTGTTTTGGGAATACTAAATTACTATCCAAATGAGAACCCCTAACCACAGAGAACTACAATTTTTTTTTTAATTTCTGGGAGTATGTTACTTAAACAATCTCGGTAGCCGAGTGGTTACGACCAATATCCTAAAGTAATCAAAAATTAATTGAAATAAAAAAATGAAGTTAAATTTTCTAATTGCCGTCGCTCCTCAGCAGGGAATGTCCACCCCTTCGAGTGTATTTCGGACGTGAAATAAAGACTCCTCATAAAAAACCCATCAGCAGCTAGGAGGCGCCTTAGCATAAGCTGTTGTTGCCTCTATATGTTGGAAAAACTTCAAGCCTCAAAGCCACAAATTGGAGGATGATGAGCTCGGCCGAAAACCGCTTCAGCGCCATTTTCTTCAGCTGCATCGAATAGAAATATATTTTTTTTGCACTCTGACTCTCTTTCTCCCACTCTCCCGCTCTCTGTGACATTCTCATTGGGAGTGCCTCGCTGGCAGATTAGCAGCAATAAAGAAGTGATTGGAATTTTTTCGATATCATTTCGCCTGCGCATTTTCACATTCTTCTTTTTCAATCTTCATTTTCATTCTTCAGCAAATGCTGATTTTAGCTTGCTAATGACACAAAAATCGTAATTTGATTAATCGCGTTTATTTTTAATGGCTGTCAGTTGTCCCTTTAATTACGAATTAATTTAATTGAGCTTTTTTTTGTCATTAACTCAACGGTTTTACGATTATTAGCTTACGTGTTTAAGCGATTTTCAGCGCCAAATTTGTTTGTATTACATAAATGAGCTTAATTATATTGGAACATTACAGTTCCATTAAATGATTGCGACAATCGAACGCACATACATACAAACAAATTAAGTTTCAATTTTATTCACATAAAATTGACGAGATTAACATTCAACTATGAGTTAGGGTGGAGGATGTCGTGTATGGATGATGTATTCCCACAATGAGATTTAGAGACGGTAGTGCTCTTTGATGATACTGACTCAACTGGAGGTCTATTGGTTTCGCTCCCAATATTTTCTTCACCGGAGAAGAGGCGGGGATGGAGCCGCCAGAGGAAAAGAACACTAAATTGTTTTATGGTGGACTCAAAGTTATATTTCAAGTTAGTTTTCTCCTGCAGGGTTTAGCGTAAGCCTCTTGCCCTTGTGGTTTTGTGCCCAGAGCGTGCTTACTAAGGCGGGCCTCCCAAGGCCTAGCTGATGTTCTTGTTTTTTTTCTCCAGGCGCATAGGATTTTTTCCAACCGATAGGGGTTTGTTTTTCCTCTTGGGACTTCAAGTGAGTCCTATGGGTCTCAAAGACCGCAGAATTTGGGTTCCGTCAATGTGGTTCCCGTGTATTTAAGACACTTTTTTTGTATTGCCGTGCTCAACGGCTGCCATTTTCCCATGCAGAGATTCGCGGCATGTGTCTTTTGGCTACCTACTAAGACGAGACCTTTCGGTCGCCGCGAAAATGGGAAGTGGAGTGGAAACGGTCAACCGTCAAGTTACTGTTGCTCTCGTAGGTAGACCGGTAACCTTACTCTTCTAAGGTCGGAATTTTATATTGGACGTTCTGACGGGACTTCGATCTTTTGGTATGTGTATACCAGGTTTGGGACTTTAGAGGCTTCCATTTCTTAAACAATTTACCTTTAGAAGGAAAAAAATCATCAATTAATTTGCATTTATATTTTTATAGTTAAATGCCTGCCGAGCCAAAAGTGAAAATTAGCGGTTCTCGTATTTTTATCAACTCAAAATCTTTGAGATCAGCCACCTCAGTCCAACTTCATAAGAATGCTTTCTCTTTGTGGTTGGCGTACGGAGATATAATGGCTCGTGGATTGAGTTCGTTGCAATCAGCTCGCACTCGCCGAGGGAGTCACTTCGAGTTCCATGACTCAGAGTCAAACATCGTTCCATTTCTCGTTCCAGACGACGTACGCCATGATTACGCCCAGTGGCCAGTCTATGCTATTTAAGAATCACTAGAAAATTTGACTTTTAAGGCAGAACTTCCATCTTTTTTCGACTTTATTTGAAAAATAGCGGTAACCTTCGGTGCGGAGGCCGCGGTAGCCGAGTGATTAGCATTATATACCGATATTCGGAAGGCTCGGTTTTAAGTCCCGCTTCCTCCAACTTTTAAAATTATGGAAAATTAATTCATATAAAATATTAATTTAAATTTTCTAATTGCGGTCGCCCCTCGGCTGGGAATGTCCACCCCTGCGAGTGTATTTCGGACATGAAATAAAGGCTCCTCGTAAAAAAAAACATCAGCCGTTCGGAGGCGGCTTAGTATGAACTGTAGGCCTCTCCATTTGTTGGAAAAACATCAGGTCTCAAATCCACAAATTGGAGGATGAGTTCGGCCGAAAAATCGCTTTAGCGGTTACAAAGCGCCAATATGACTAACAAACATCCGGCTTGCTATTTTTGAAATGTCATACGAAGCCCAGTCAACTCAATGGAATCTCTCATCTCCTTCACTTCTTCGAAGTCTTCTTTTTAAAGGCTCGGCACCGAAACTAACTTAAAACCTCCTTCACTGCAGTTGTTGTCTGGTCTTGAAATGAATATGTGGAAGTTGCTTTTCTTTTCGAAGGGCAGTCACTTGGCTACCTCACCTTAACCAAGAGCGAGCTATTTGCTTTCAGACCCTCTTGTAGCCATATGTGGGGTAGATAGTTCTTACTGTTAGTGTTTTATGAACCTCAGAACTAAATATGTGGAAGGGAATCTACTCAAGCTCCCTTTCATTTCGAAATGCCGACGTGATTGTCATTTGATTACCACACTTTGCACAAGAGTTTCTTATCTTCCCTGGTGTAATGAGGTCGCAAGGGAGAGAGTTATACTCTTACAATGGAGTACGACTTTCTTAAGACTGAACAACGAACATAGCTGTTAAAGCAGCCCTTAGGAGAGGATTTTCAAGAATCTACCCACCTGTTTTTGATATTGTTCTAGCCATAAAAATATTACCCAAAGTACTTTTAAGGGAATTTGTAGGTACGACACTCCTCGTCCGCCTAAAAGTCCGGTTCGTTCCGTTGAAAACTTTTAAACTTTAGTCGCCTCTTACGAGAGTCATGCCTTACCGTGGGAAAATTCATGAACCTTTAACCCGCAGAGGTATCTATTCGCCTGTCTTTAGATGCGACTTAGCTCCAATCCTGCGATAGTCCTGGACTAACCGGGATATGGACTTTCGCTGCCGCCAAAAAGAAACAAGGAATTTGAGATATATTTTTGAGGTTACAGCAACAACAGTACTGAAGTCTGTTCTGAATCAAGACTAATTTATATCAGTCGCTTTTTAAGCTCACCATGAAGTCAACATCCAATGAGAGGGATACGATTTTTTCGACAGTAATATTTGAGTTTCCTTATAATGTATTACCGCAAAGCATGAGACTTTTTTGCGCTCTCCAGTTCTCTGTACAGTAAGTGCAGTTGGAAGCAGTCTCGCTTGGGAAGAGATGAAGTAAGGAGGGAGTTGGCGTATCGCGTAAGCGAAAAGAAATAATCTCACTTTATTAAGCCCAGTGAGAGCTTTGATAAACTTTTTTTTAAATCAAGCGATCTTTTAAAGGGTTTCCACTCTTCACGTTTTGCTGTTAAGACAGGCTCGGAGTCATTTTCGAACTCAAGATAACTTTAAAAATAAATACAGAAAAATAAATGTTATTCCTTTCAACTTTTTTTTTCCAGGTCTCTCCTGTCGTTATGGCAAAAATCCATGGACCGAATGTGACCTAAAGACCAACACACGCTCACGAACGTTGACGTTGAAGAAGGGCGATCCGGCATGCGATCAAACGCGAACCATACAAAAGAAATGCAAAAAAGGTAAGTGTGAAAAGGAGATTAAAAATTAAATGCCATAAAACTATAAATGTATGCAAAAATTAAAACAAAAAATATGCAAAAATAATTTTTGCATTTTAAATTTCGCCACACGTTATTACCATCATTTGCGCCTAAATGTATGCAATAACTTTCTGCAAATGGTTTAAAACGCTTTTTGCCACTGCAATTGAACAAAAAGCGTTCAAAAAAAACCGAAAAGTGGGCAAATGGACAAATACAGAAAACCAAAAAACTCTCTCTCTCACACACACACAACAACTTATCAGCAATGCAAGGCTATTACTTGCAACAGCAGCAACAGCGTAATTGCTGACTTTTGCTGACATCGCTAACTCAGTTGATTTTTGCTATTGCCTCTATTGCCCTTGTTGTTTTTGCCATCACCATTAACTGCCACGCCAATCTGCAGTGCCGAATCAGCGACTATGTATATCGCCCGTTGACGTCATTGCCCATCATCATCATTATTGCGCCTCGCTGACGCGTAATTACTTTTTATTATTACGCCGCGCACAGCGGGTAGCTACTCTGGCTCTGGTTCAGCTGTTGCAGTGTGCGAGAGAAGAGAAAGAGCAGCGAGGAGCGTGTGTAGTTATCATAAAGCTGTTGGCGTGAAAATTAAAGAAGTCAAAATGTACTTGCGAATGTTTGTATATATATGTGTGTGTATGTGTTTGTGCGAGTATTTATTGGATGTGTGTGCCTTGCAAATCGCCTTTCCGGTAAATGACGATATTCGCGGACATTAATAATTAACTCGGATTTCTCAAAAAGCCGTTTAAGTAAAGCGAACGTCGAGCATAATATCTGGATGCAAACAGGGTTGGCGGGAGGACACTCAAGGTGCTCAATTTGTTCATAATTAATTTGTTTTAACGGAATTACTTTCAATAAAGGCGAGCCTTGCGGAGAGGAGCACTGACACATACTTTAGGACCAGAAAGTTTCGGGATATCGTTTTTTGTTCGGTATTCGAGGCTTGGTTTATCATGAATTCGTTCCAACGGCACACAAGCCGCTTGCGCGAAAACATCCGCCGTAAACGGTTGGAATTGTTAGCCAACAAACCATGGATTTTTCAAAACGTTAATGCGCCATCCTTTCGAGCTGCAGTTGTAAAGGAATTGAAGACCAAAAGCTTGTTCAATACCATCGATCCACCACCAAGTTACCTACCACTCCGTGGAACCCGTTTCGACTCAATTGAGGCCGTAAAAGAAAGTTCGCAGAGAGAACTGAAGGCGATGCTGCACAGCGACTAGAAGTCTGTGTCTTCAGAACGAGCATTTTCGAAGGCGTCATAATAAATATTTGTGAAGATTAGAAATTTTTCGTTTTATTTACAATTTCTGGAAGCTTTATGGCCTCATGTGTGCATAAAGTTGGCGGTTTGTAATCACGGAAGTGAGCTTGGATAGCGCTTCTTCTCCAATTTGTGATGCCCGTCCTGATGATGATATGACAGGATGACCAGGAGTCAATAGAACACAATACTTCTTTTCTTTTATAACTCATAGACAGTTTGTCGGCTTGGAACGATAACAAAAAATGTGACCAATCTCTTTTCTCCTGAGCAGACTAAGTGAGAACAGGTCCTTCCGACACGGTTCCTCCATGTCGTGTTCGGGTTGCGCCCTGGCGTTCGTGGTCCATCCCAGGTTGTCGAGCCAAATGAACTTTTCACTTTAAACTCATCACTTCTACGAACGGTATATCTAAGTCATCGCAGAGGTTGTGCTTTATGTGCCTGACTATTTTCCTACCATTATCAAGCTCAGCTAGTTTGTGATTCCATCTTTTTCGATACACTTTCCTTACGCGCAGAGCTCCACGGATCTTACGTAAAATAAATCTTCCGCATGCTTTGTTCGCCATCGTTCACGTTTCTATCTGTGCCATAAAAAAAGACAATCATAATGAGGGATTTATAGAGCGGGATTTTAGTTCGTCGAATTAGAAGAGAGGAATGAGAAGATAGGAGAAAGAAGGGAGGAGAGAGAAGACAGAAGAGAGAAGAGAGGAGAGAGAAGAGAGAAGAGAGGAGAGAGGAGGGAGGAGAGAGGAGGGAGGAGGGAGGAGAGTTTTGTACCTGAATAGAAAGGAACTTCACCCGCCAAACAAACGAAATATTTCATGTGATAGAAGAGTAGTGTTAAGCCGCGTATTTTAGAAGATGATATAAGAAGAGAATTTAGAAGATAAATTAGAGAGAAAATCTACGTTCTCTAGATATCCGAATATCTCGATACTTAGCTCTTGCACAGATTTTAAGATACTACATATCGTGTGATTTTGGAAGTCCATAATCTGTCAAGTAGTGAAATCGAGCGATGTTGCCTGTTTTCTTGCTCTTCGTTTGTGTGAGGATCGCGTAGCCGCTGCAGCTTACTTCGATTGATTATAAATTTATCGTCTTTCCGTTTTCTTTCAAAAACTTCCAACACCGGCTACTCGGAGATAATTATTTTTCGATCCTCAGCAGCGTACTGCAGCCACCTATATGATTTGATACATTCGCTGAGAGAGAGCTGTGCTTTTATTTACCGACCAAGCTGAAATAGAACATGCTCTTTTCCCTCCTTCCCTAACACTCGCCGGTAACAAATTGAAGAACTCGCACGATAGCGCATCATCTCGGCTAAAACCTCGCTTGCTTTCGAACGGCTTGGAGCGGTCCTTGCCCGTTTAAACGAAACTGAATGACGTTGCACAGTCTTTCCACACAGCCGTATGGGTTTCACGAGGTTTCCGAATTCACATATGGCATTTTATAGGCAGCTTCGTTTGCAGACACCAAAGGTGGCTTTAAAATCGACGACGAGATGGTGCGTCTCGGTTTGTTTATACAAGGTATTTACCAGGATTTCACGTGCGGAATAAATCTGCTCGGTAGTGGACTTACAAGGGGTGAAGCCACAGCCACACGGTTTTATAGCGAACTTCAAACTTGCACTCAGCACTGTTGATAAAACCGTTATGTGCCGTTAAGAAGACTTATACCACGCTAGTTGATGCAGATTACAGAATTTTACTTCTCCAATCCGCAAGAAAGAACTCACAAGATTTCAATATTCGGATATTGCGTTTAAGTGCTGGTACATACGTCCGACCAGCTTTTCGCCGTCAGCCATGAGCCTCTCTGTTGGTACAACATTAGTTCAGAGAGCTTTTATATTTTCAAGCCGACTTATAGCTTCTTATTCTTACCTCATCTTGGTCTAAAGAAGTTGGCACGTTTGACAGCGTCCCTGCGCATAGAACGGTGTTCTTCCTCCTTGAATGCGCCGTCGATATTTCCATATAAAATCTCCAAGAAGTGCTTCCCTCCAAAACTCTAGTACACTCCGTGCAGCTGTTAACAGATTTAACGCCAAAAAGAAAATGAAATTGCAATGCTTCTAAATGAAACAAGCAAAACGGAAATGGGACTTCAAATTATGTGTTTGTCGACGGTGGGCGTTCAAATACTGATAACGATTGCGCAAAAGGATATTAAAGGATAATTGCATTGAACTTTGATCGCTTCCTAGCACTGCGCACAACGAAGAAATAATGCAGTAAATTAACAAAGCAAACAAAAAACAAAAAAAAAACCAAAAAAAAAAAAAAAACGAAAACACAAAACAATTTTCCGCCCAGAGAGCGCCTTACCTCAGCTAAACTGCATTTTTCTAATATTTTTTTTTTTTGTGGGTCTTTCTGTTTTCTTTGCTGTAACTCTGCAGTCAGCAAAATTTTCCGCTGACATGCGAATAACCGTTTAGCTGTCATAGGGAAGTACGAGGGGCTTAACAAAAGTTCGGTGAGTCAATGGCTTTCAAATTTGTTTTTGTTAAATTTAAAAATACCAAATTCTTTGGAATTGCTTTATTAGTCTTTCTTTCAAATTTTGGAATGATCAGCCAAAATGGGGACAAGAAAACGCAAAATAGCTGAGGATAGCTCAGACGAAATTCCACCGCCAACGCAAACAGAAACTCGTCAGGTGATGCTCTTCGGCTTCAGGCGCAATTTACAGCCAATAAAAATATTCAGTGAATGCCAAATTGCATATTGAAGGATTGCATCGTCTTTAAAGACCACTTCTAATTGGTTCCGAAGATTCCACACTATACATTTTTCCAAAGAAGGCCAGCCTCGAGAAGGTCGACCAAAATTTTTCACCGTTGACGTCACTGTAGCTCTGGTGAAGTGTAAAACTGAAGAAGAGCCACGATTGACACAAGAAATGATTGCCAATAAATGGGGCTTGCATGCCACGGCTGTATCGAGAATACAGTGTAATCATCTGGGATACACGAAAAAATCTGTTTGATGGGTGCAAAGAATTTTAAATGAAGCCCAAAAAGAGGTTCGATTGCATTTTTCTCATTTTTTCCTCGACAAACTAGAAAATGGTTAGTCTAGCTTTACTTAAGTAAAGTCGTTGCTGGTGAGGAAGCTTGGTGCTATAAGTACGATCCAGAACCCAAAAAGCAGTCCATGGTATAGAGCCAAACAGGAGCACAACCACCCGTAAAATCTAAGCAACAAAAATCAGCAGCAAAAGTAATGAAGTCAGTTTTCTTCACCCGATCTAAAATCGTAGCTGATATTCCACTGAAGAAGGGTCAGAGAGTCAGACGGTAACTACAAAATAATACAGCGAAGATTTCTTACCAAATTTTTTCAAAAATTGGTAGGAAAACAGGAAGAAAGAGGATTTGCGGCGCTACTTTTTACATTATGACCACGCGCCATCCCACGCTGCTGATCGGGATCTGGGATCGAAGAAACACGTGCAGCACCATAATCCCTGGTTAAAGCGCCTTGGGGTTTCTGGTGATTTTCAAAAATATGAAAAACTTTAAAAAGAAATGTCTTTAATAGTCACGAGGAGATAATTAATGCGGCTTATGCTGAACTTGATAAGCTTAAGAAGAAATATTTCGAAGACTGTCTTCATAAGTGGATCTACAGGCTTAAGAAATGCTTTGAAA